CTCCTGAGGTGGGGCTGGAGCTGTCCCACCCCATCCTTCCTGATCCCCCAAAACCCCCTGAGGTGGATACTTGGGGCCTCCAAGCTCTTATCGACCCCAAAGCCCCTTAAAGATGGGACACCAGGGGCCCCCAAACCCCCCAAGATGGGACACTGGGGACCCCCAACCCCACCCAACCCCCAAACCCCCCATTTTAGGACACCAGGGACCCCCCAAGATGAGACAGCAGAGACCTCAAATCCACCCCAAACCCCCCATTTTAGGACACCAGGGACCCCCCAAGATGAGACAGCAGAGACCTCAAATCCACCCCAAACCCCCCATTTTAGGACACCAGGGACCCCCCAAGATGAGACAGCAGAGACCTCAAATCCACCCCAAACCCCCCATTTTAGGACACCAGGGACCCCCCAAGATGAGACAGCAGAGACCTCAAATCCACCCCAAACCCCCCATTTTAGGACACCAGGGACCCCCCAAGATGAGACAGCAGAGACCTCAAATCCACCCCAAACCCCCCATTTTAGGACACCAGGGACCCCCCAAGATGAGACAGCAGAGACCTCAAATCCACCCCAAACCCCCCATTTTAGGACACCAGGGACCCCCCAAGATGAGACAGCAGAGACCTCAAATCCACCCCAAACCCCCCATTTTAGGACACCAGGGACCCCCCAAGATGAGACAGCAGAGACCTCAAATCCACCCCAAACCCCCCATTTTAGGACACCAGGGACCCCCCAAGATGAGACAGCAGAGACCTCAAATCCACCCCAAACCCCCCATTTTAGGACACCAGGGACCCCCCAAGATGAGACAGCAGAGACCTCAAATCCACCCCAAACCCCCCATTTTAGGACACCAGGGACCCCCCAAGATGAGACAGCAGAGACCTCAAATCCACCCCAAACCCCCCATTTTAGGACACCAGGGACCCCCCAAGATGAGACAGCAGAGACCTCAAATCCACCCCAAACCCCCCATTTTAGGACACCAGGGACCCCCCAAGATGAGACAGCAGAGACCTCAAATCCACCCCAAACCCCCCATTTTAGGACACCAGGGACCCCCCAAGATGAGACAGCAGAGACCTCAAATCCACCCCAAACCCCCCATTTTAGGACACCAGGGACCCCCCAAGATGAGACAGCAGAGACCTCAAATCCACCCCAAACCCCCCATTTTAGGACACCAGGGACCCCCCAAGATGAGACAGCAGAGACCTCAAATCCACCCCAAACCCCCCATTTTAGGACACCAGGGACCCCCCAAGATGAGACAGCAGAGACCTCAAATCCACCCCAAACCCCCCATTTTAGGACACCAGGGACCCCCCAAGATGAGACAGCAGAGACCTCAAATCCACCCCAAACCCCCCATTTTAGGACACCAGGGACCCCCCAAGATGAGACAGCAGAGACCTCAAATCCACCCCAAACCCCCCATTTTAGGACACCAGGGACCCCCCAAGATGAGACAGCAGAGACCTCAAATCCACCCCAAACCCCCCATTTTAGGACACCAGGGACCCCCCAAGATGAGACAGCAGAGACCTCAAATCCACCCCAAACCCCCCATTTTAGGACACCAGGGACCCCCCAAGATGAGACAGCAGAGACCTCAAATCCACCCCAAACCCCCCATTTTAGGACACCAGGGACCCCCCAAGATGAGACAGCAGAGACCTCAAATCCACCCCAAACCCCCCATTTTAGGACACCAGGGACCCCCCAAGATGAGACAGCAGAGACCTCAAATCCACCCCAAACCCCCCATTTTAGGACACCAGGGACCCCCCAAGATGAGACAGCAGAGACCTCAAATCCACCCCAAACCCCCCATTTTAGGACACCAGGGACCCCCCAAGATGAGACAGCAGAGACCTCAAATCCACCCCAAACCCCCCATTTTAGGACACCAGGGACCCCCCAAGATGAGACAGCAGAGACCTCAAATCCACCCCAAACCCCCCATTTTAGGACACCAGGGACCCCCCAAGATGAGACAGCAGAGACCTCAAATCCACCCCAAACCCCCCATTTTAGGACACCAGGGACCCCCCAAGATGAGACAGCAGAGACCTCAAATCCACCCCAAACCCCCCATTTTAGGACACCAGGGACCCCCCAAGATGAGACAGCAGAGACCTCAAATCCACCCCAAACCCCCCATTTTAGGACACCAGGGACCCCCCAAGATGAGACAGCAGAGACCTCAAATCCACCCCAAACCCCCCATTTTAGGACACCAGGGACCCCCCAAGATGAGACAGCAGAGACCTCAAATCCACCCCAAACCCCCCATTTTAGGACACCAGGGACCCCCCAAGATGAGACAGCAGAGACCTCAAATCCACCCCAAACCCCCCATTTTAGGACACCAGGGACCCCCCAAGATGAGACAGCAGAGACCTCAAATCCACCCCAAACCCCCCATTTTAGGACACCAGGGACCCCCCAAGATGAGACAGCAGAGACCTCAAATCCACCCCAAACCCCCCATTTTAGGACACCAGGGACCCCCCAAGATGAGACAGCAGAGACCTCAAATCCACCCCAAACCCCCCATTTTAGGACACCAGGGACCCCCCAAGATGAGACAGCAGAGACCTCAAATCCACCCCAAACCCCCCATTTTAGGACACCAGGGACCCCCCAAGATGAGACAGCAGAGACCTCAAATCCACCCCAAACCCCCCATTTTAGGACACCAGGGACCCCCCAAGATGAGACAGCAGAGACCTCAAATCCACCCCAAACCCCCCATTTTAGGACACCAGGGACCCCCCAAGATGAGACAGCAGAGACCTCAAATCCACCCCAAACCCCCCATTTTAGGACACCAGGGACCCCCCAAGATGAGACAGCAGAGACCTCAAATCCACCCCAAACCCCCCATTTTAGGACACCAGGGACCCCCCAAGATGAGACAGCAGAGACCTCAAATCCACCCCAAACCCCCCATTTTAGGACACCAGGGACCCCCCAAGATGAGACAGCAGAGACCTCAAATCCACCCCAAACCCCCCATTTTAGGACACCAGGGACCCCCCAAGATGAGACAGCAGAGACCTCAAATCCACCCCAAACCCCCCATTTTAGGACACCAGGGACCCCCCAAGATGAGACAGCAGAGACCTCAAATCCACCCCAAACCCCCCATTTTAGGACACCAGGGACCCCCCAAGATGAGACAGCAGAGACCTCAAATCCACCCCAAACCCCCCATTTTAGGACACCAGGGACCCCCCAAGATGAGACAGCAGAGACCTCAAATCCACCCCAAACCCCCCATTTTAGGACACCAGGGACCCCCCAAGATGAGACAGCAGAGACCTCAAATCCACCCCAAACCCCCCATTTTAGGACACCAGGGACCCCCCAAGATGAGACAGCAGAGACCTCAAATCCACCCCAAACCCCCCATTTTAGGACACCAGGGACCCCCCAAGATGAGACAGCAGAGACCTCAAATCCACCCCAAACCCCCCATTTTAGGACACCAGGGACCCCCCAAGATGAGACAGCAGAGACCTCAAATCCACCCCAAACCCCCCATTTTAGGACACCAGGGACCCCCCAAGATGAGACAGCAGAGACCTCAAATCCACCCCAAACCCCCCATTTTAGGACACCAGGGACCCCCCAAGATGAGACAGCAGAGACCTCAAATCCACCCCAAACCCCCCATTTTAGGACACCAGGGACCCCCCAAGATGAGACAGCAGAGACCTCAAATCCACCCCAAACCCCCCATTTTAGGACACCAGGGACCCCCCAAGATGAGACAGCAGAGACCTCAAATCCACCCCAAACCCCCCATTTTAGGACACCAGGGACCCCCCAAGATGAGACAGCAGAGACCTCAAATCCACCCCAAACCCCCCATTTTAGGACACCAGGGACCCCCCAAGATGAGACAGCAGAGACCTCAAATCCACCCCAAACCCCCCATTTTAGGACACCAGGGACCCCCCAAGATGAGACAGCAGAGACCTCAAATCCACCCCAAACCCCCCATTTTAGGACACCAGGGACCCCCCAAGATGAGACAGCAGAGACCTCAAATCCACCCCAAACCCCCCATTTTAGGACACCAGGGACCCCCCAAGATGAGACAGCAGAGACCTCAAATCCACCCCAAACCCCCCATTTTGGAACAGTAGGGACCCCAAACCTCCCAAGATGTGACACCAGGGACCCCCAACCCCCAATTTTGGGACACCTGGGTCCCCCAAGCTCCCCCAGGATGGGCCACAGACCCTTTCCCCATCCCTCCCCATCCTGGTTTTCCCGACCTGACAGTCCCTCTATCCCGGTCTCGGCGCTTGAAGGGCTCCACAGGGACATCCCAGGCAGGAATTATTAATGAGCCATCATTTATTAATTACCTTCCGCCGGGCTGGGATGAAGTCATTAGCGGGATCAGGGTGATGTTCCATGCCCCTGGAATGTCCTCCTGGGGAAACCTTCCAGATCTTCTCCCTCGGGATAAGAGCCCTACGGTTCCTCCTGGAATTTGGGATTCACCAGCAGGGTGGGGAAGAGGGGGTTTGGTTTGAATCCAGGTGAGACCCAAGGTGGAAATCCTGGGGTGATGGATCCATGGGAAGGATCCTGGAATGTCCTCCTGGGGAAACCTCCTTATCTCCCTTGGGATGAGAACCCTACAGTTCCTCCTGGAATTTGGGATTCACCAGCAGGGTGGGGGAGAAGAGGTTTTGTTTGAAAAAGGGTGAGATCCAAGGTGGAAATCCTGGGGTGATGGATCCATGGGAAGTGGGGGTTGGCTCCCAGCAGATGGTGGGGAGGCAGAGCTGGAGCTGCCAGTGGTTCGACACCAACCGGAGGGGCTGGAGCAGCTGCTGGAACAGACCAAGTTCACCAGGAAGGAGTTGAAATCCCTTTATCGTGGCTTCAAGAGCGTGAGGGGTGGGGGGGGGGTCGTGGGCAGACCCACCAGTGGTGGATCG